CGGGACATCCCCCCCCCCCCCCCCGTCGGGCAAATCCTGGCGCCACCACTATTTTCCACATGCATAATAAAATCCTTGATTATTTTTTCACTTACCATTCGGTTCCACTTCTAAAAATCTTACAATACCACACAAATCATGAAGAGATAGGGAAAAGTGTTAGTGTCCGCTTTTGGCTTGGAGTCATTAGTTTGGTTTTATAGAAATCCATATTTTTTTCTGTGGCAGATGGAAAGCCTTGTTACTATGGTGACAGATGGTACAGAGATGGAGAGTCTGAACGATTCCAACACTGTTTTGATTGGTATGTCAACCATCAATCAATTTTACAGAAATTTCGCAATCTACATACAGTAATACCAATATTATAATAAGTAGCAATAAGCCAAATTGAAATGATAATAATAATAATACACACACACACACACATTAGGTATACGTACAGATATAAATAAATACGAGTATAAATTAATATAATGCGGAAGTAAGATGAGTGACTATAGAAACATATGATCGTAATAAAACACGATTGGGTAGCGTGGATATGAATGCTTAATCAATAATTCAAGGGCGTAGTTGATAATAATAAACTAACCAATCATACAGTTGCTGGAGATATCTTACTAAGTCTATAAGAGAAAGCGATGAAAACGGACGGAACGACGGAGTAAGTGTGTTTACTATTAAAAATAATATAAAAAAACGGTCTCCGAGATAACAAGTGCATACATAAAAGCATATTATCCTTAAAACATGAACTCTAAGAGAAAACCAAAACCAGATGTACATCATCAAAACTATAATTTAAATTATTTGAAAAACACATATATGATAATTATAATGATGATGATGATGGCGATGGTGGCGGTGATGATGACGATGATGATGATGATGTTGATGATGATGATGATGATGATGATGATGATGATGATGATGATGATGATGATAATGATAATGATGATAATGATGATGATAATGATAATGATGATGATGATAATGATGAGAATGTTAAATGATAATGATAATGATAAAGATAAACCGATGATGATGATGTTTAGGATAATAATAATGAAAACGATAATAATAATGATAAATTTATTGATAAATATGCCGTAGTTTAATTAAATTATATGATAATAATCATTTATTGATAGGCCCTATTATAATTATTATAGTATTATTTATCATACTACGCACTGTCATTCATTTCTATCATACCATATCTATTTTTGTTGAATTATAGTGTCTGCAATGATGGCTTCTTTAAATGCTACGATATATGTGGTAAGTGATTCTCATATAATATAGGCCTATCATCATTATTTACTTGATTTTTTAAACCTACCATATGGCAAGACAAATTGCTATTCAATCGCAAACTAATAGAGCTATCTTAGTTAAATATTAAGATATCTTTACTTGAGTTAAAATGATAATTCGGCTCGCCATAGCATCACCTTGATGTTATTACGGTTAGTGTTAAGGCCTTTTTACACCATGACGATAACGATCAACGACACAAAGCTAAAACTCATTTTGTCCATATAGAAAATAAAAGAAATAGGCCTAAGAAAAGTTTGTTACACTAGCACGATTCGAAAACAATTTATGGTGTATACGATACAAAAATAATTTCACAAATCAAATCAAATGATGTCAGAGCCTAATCATGGGACAACGATAAAATCATTTTTACTAATACGATTCGTTATCGTCATCGTGTAATCAGGTCTTTAAGTTAAAAAATACTTATGATTGCAATTTACAGCGGAAAAGCCAGGCGAATGTCCGGAAGGTCATGACCTCAATATCGACATCTATGAGTGCGACGTAGATGCAGATTGCCATGGTGACGAGAAATGCTGCACGGGTGCATGTTCACAGCCACAGCAAAGTTAGTAATTAAAATTATTTTTTTAAATACCGTTTAAAATCTAAATTTATACTTTGTTTGATTTTATGACATCCGAATGTACAAAATTGGCCAAGATTCATGCTATTTATATATTTTTAAATATTTGTTACATTATATTTATTAATGTAAATAAATATTTATATTATTATTTAAATTATATTTAAATATTTATTATATTATATTATTCCCTATCTATTACTTTTTTTTCAGGATTCATAAGTTGTGAAGATGAACCTTGTAAGAACGGTGGGACCTGTGAAGGTTCATATACGCTGAGGCCGTTGCTGTACACATGTCATTGTGCAGACGGCTATACAGGAAACAATTGTAACGAGACAGTGATTGGTGAGATGCAATTTTTGTCATCATTTTACAATTTTCTCAAAATTGAGAGATTTGAATGTCATTGATGGAACTTTCAAGAGTGTTGTCCCACAAACACGTTTACATTTGGGAGCTTCCGATTTGTGCGACGACGCGACGGTAGAACGGAATCACTCATGCGTGACCGTTCTACCTGGCGTCCTACGTTCTCTGCAGACGTAGATTTGGCCAAATTGCGTTCCAGAATCTGCTCGACGAGGTGACCTTAACGTTCTCGCATGCGCAGATGACTCTTAGTGACGTCACTACGTTCTACGTCCTACCGTCTTCGTGCAATCGAAAGCTCCTTACTGTACTATCTTTTCGTGGGACCTTAGCAACAATATCCAAGGGGCGGGGTTTAGCAGAAATGTCCATTTGCTCTGATTTAAGGGACTTAAAGGAGGAGAACAGTACTAACATGTTCCTGGCTTAAATAATAAGTAAGCAGATAAAGAAACAGCCAAGTCTGCAGCTTGACACATGATTTATTTTAATTATATTTATATAACTTTATAATAATATTTAATACTACTTACTATATTTAATACTACTTACAATATCAGAGGCAGATCCAGTAGGAACCCCCCCCCCCCCCCCACGTTTTGCCACTAAATTTTAAAATTTCGAGGCATATATTGAAATTGGCACTCTCACTTATCTATTCTGGATATGTTGAGCACCCAGCCCCCACCCCACCCATTTGAAAAATTCTGGATCTGCCCCTGTACAATATATCAGTCTATGATTTGAAATGTATGTTTATTGTCAAAGATCTTTGCCACGTGAAACCAAATCCATGCTCGAATGGAGGCAATTGCACAGGTAACGTGGGATATCCATGTGTGTGTGTACCGGGATTCCACGGCAAGTTTTGTGAAGGTAAATACCGGTTTTCTATTAATTGAGAAACTTCTATTACCTCTGCCAAGGAGCTATGTATTCACCTTACTGGTCTGTCTGTCTGTCTGCCTGTTAGGTTTGGTGGAATGGTACTAAGAGAATAAATTTTGGGAAGAAAAATTCAATGGATAAGGTCAAAGTCACGAAAATTAGATTTTTTTTGCCCTCGAGAATAAAAAAAAATAATAAAATCGCTCATACACGGTCTGCGTACTTTTCGTTATTTTCAGGGTGGAAGTATGTACTCTATATTGTGACTGCTCTAGTTGTAAAATTATTATTATAAATGATATTACAAAGTGAGATTTTTAGGGAAGTGGGCCTAAAATAATGACCGTTTTAACTGAAGACCAGGATAATAAAATTTATATTATCAAAGAAATAAAAAAAATTAAAAAATGGCTATTAAAATAAAAAATGCGTTCTGTGTACTACCGGTCCCACCGAGTACACACCCTCATTTAATACAATAAGCACCTCCCCACTTTTATAATTTTATGAAAATATCTGTCTCTTTTAGATATGTGTGACCCGACTACCTGTCAGAATGGAGGAACTTGCACTGGTAGAAATATTTACCCCTGTATTTGCGATTACAGATATGGTGGTGACTTTTGTGAACAAGGTAAATTTTTCAATCAGGGGTATGTCTATTAGAAATGTACACAAATTTTTGGCTTTTTGTTTACTTCAGGGGTTTTATTTAAGAATGTATTTATTTTCAAATTAATTTAGGAGTACAGATGGTTGGTTGCTGCATTTAATTGACAATGTTTTATACATTGTGTTTATATAGTTAACATATTTTAATCTTTGTTCACTTTAAAGTTGGAGATATGTTCCCTGGTCAATGCCATAGCCAGGATTTTCAAACAATGCGGTGGACCCACTTTATGCATAAATTAACATATTATGGACCCATTTTCTTAAAAGTTGACACATTTTACTCAAAAATATGAAAAAACCTTGTTCGAAGCAAAAAATCAAGTTGTCTTTACGCAGTACCATTCCTTTATTTTTTTCGGCAGGAAATTTTCCTTATAAACCAAAAATTACATTAATAATGTATTATCTATGTATAATCATTATTAATTACTAGCAAAAGTGAGGTTTCGCAATCTTACGAAATGGAACTATACCAAACACAGTTACATCATAAATTTCTGAATTTCTTAGTCGATCTCCATTCATACATTTTACAGCATACAGTATTTGTTGAACAGTGCGATCACAATTGTAAGGGAAAAACGGAAATCGTTTTAATTAAACATATAGTCAACAACAAACAATTCGGACCGAATAATAATTTAGATTCAGGAGCTGAATCCAGAAGTACCAATGAAATTCCTTACTTTCATTTAATTTATATGGTGTGTTCTATACTTTACATCACAGATTTGTGTGACCCGAATCCATGTCAAAACGGCGGCACTTGTACAAGAAGCGATATGACGTGTATCTGTCCAGAAGGCTTCAGTGGAGATCTTTGTGATGAAGGTACAGTAGTAACAATGGACCTTTCTGGGGTGTCAATCAAACTTAACAACTGACCATTTAGAACAGCATCAGATCCCAGGGGTGGGGCTTAGCAGGAAGTTCCTACATGTATAGTTGTTCATTCTATAACCCAAAAACGGAACGCTTAAATCTATTAGTACATTTCTATTAATCTCTTTTTATCACATGGATCACTATAATACACTTAGATTTTACCTTATTCTTAAACAGAAAAACATTTTTTATCTACAAAAACTGAACTTTTTTTTATAAAATTGCTTAACACAATTCAGAGTTAAATTTTAGGGTTTTGCTGTATTTTTGCTTAAAACAGACTTTTCCAAAGTTAGCTATAGCAAATTACTTTGACATTGACATATGTTTTTGTTGATTATGTTTTGCAGACGACATCTGTATTGTGGAACCATGTACGAATGGTGGACACTGTATAGCAAATGTTGATTACAGTGATGACGCTAGTCCAAGTTATCACTTAAGTTCGAGCTCTGCTTCTAGTGGTGCTGATTCGCACTGCCAATGTCGTCTGGGTTATAAAGGCAGAGTTTGTGAAATTGGTAAGTCCACTGTGTTTATGTATATGAGTTTATGTATGTGTATATATGTATATATTATGTGTATATATATGTATCTACTTAACTTTGCAGTTAAACCTCTCATAAGCGACCACCCTCATCATTATCATCACCATTCAGACAAGGTTTCCTAGACATACCAGACTATTTAATACTTCCAGTGGTGGTGGCAACAGGGAGTGGGGCATATACGTCGGACCTCCTCTGTCAGGTAAATTTCTGTATATTTTAATATTTAAACTAATAGAATTTTTTTTATTTTTTTTTTATTTTTTTTTTTAGATTTGTGTTCACCAAATCTATGTCAAAATGGAGGCATATGCACAGGTTTCGAATGGGAGCCATGTTACTGTTTACAGGGCTTTACCGGAGACTACTGCGAAGAAGGTAGTGACTAAATCACCTTTATAGTCAGTGGCATTACAAAAAACCCAGGATCTCTGATTTTAGCCAATGGGATTCAGGCCCATAGCCGGGGGAGGGGGTGTTATGGTTTGGGCAAACCCCTTTTTCTAGCAAACCCTCATCCCCATCCTTGAATTCCTGAACGGGTCTTCCAACCCAACTAATGCACTGTAGACCCACTCAGACTCAGACAGAACATTTTGCTGTATACCTTTTTCAAACATATCTGCTTTTATAGTATTATGTAGACAGATAAAACACAAAAATCCTCTGGCTTATTGGGTTTGGCTGAACCCACCAAGTCTTCGACCCTGGATCCCATGCCATGCCCAGAGAACCCACCTCCCCTGGGAAGAACCTGGCTATGGGCCTGGGATCCCATAGCAGTTACACCATTGCTAATAGTCCGAATGTCATGTCGAATAATATCAAGGCATACAGTATAAACAAAAATCATGGCTTATGCGTCTTCTGTATTTTATAAAGCATTATCGGTACCCAATAACACTCCACCAAATTTGGTTTTTTAACCTCCCAAAAGGGGGGGCCGGGGCCGGGCCGGCCCCCCCCCCAATAAATCCGCTCCTGAAATGCTAGTCACCGGGTTGCCGTTGTTCAAAGCGGTTTGTTTACGACTTACCATCATATATTGCTCAATTAACACAAAGATGAAATTAAAAACAAATAAAAACAAAGGATAAACGGCTGATGAACTTGCAGAAAATCGAGTCAGCTCATATTACACTACGATGATGGATTAACATCGTGAATTGGATATCACAATGGTCATATTTCTCCATAAAAACACAAAAAGAAAACACTGAGAATTTCAATATAGGCCAGAGGTAACAAGTTTAATACTCTAATACAAATTGTTTGTGTTGTTTTTCAGAGGAAATATGTAATTCGCAGCCATGTATGAACGGCGGAATTTGTTTAGGGAATTTCAATTACACCAATGTTGTTGGAATTGATTCTTACTGCCTCTGTCTTCCTGGATTTATAGGTGACTACTGTCAGATAGAAGGTATGTCCGTTATTTAGCAGGCATAAGGTGGCTTAATACTTACAGATAATTAAATGATAATTAATTGTAATAACTAATTATTTAAATTGATTGGTATTTTCATCTCCAGTCGGTCAGAATATGAATACAACCGCTACGTATCCAGCACCTTTAATGACTGATGAAGACGGAGAGTCTGTAACCTTTGATCCTACCCCATGTGAACCGAGCCCATGTTTAAACGGTGGAACATGTGAGCACATTGACTATCCGTATCTAGCGTATCATTGTGAATGCCCGTCAGGATTTGGTGGGGAAACATGCGAAGAAGGTAAGAATTCTATAAATCTCAAAATCTATTCTTCTAAACTTGCCAGAGTTCTTGATGATTTGTCCAACATGCATGGATTAATACGGGCCTAAAACAAATTAGCCTATTCAATCACCCCTAGTCTGCAACTGAACCGATGTCATGCCGATTTCGTTTCCATTTGCAAAATATATTTCAAACCTAATTTATTTGATAGTGACAATTATTTTTATTTTCTCTACTTGAAAAAATGAACTATGGGTCTACATCCGGTAAGTGGAGGCAGTTTGGGGCAGTGAAAATGGTTTGGTTTTTTCCTACCTTGAGGTCGGTGTTTCATTCCTTCACTGTGCATTTTGCTTGTTTCCTTAAGAAGGCACTTTATCTATACATCAGTCTACCCAGCTGTAGCAATTGGTACCAGCAAATTTCTCGGAGTAACTTGGGCGGATAAGCTCCAGCCCCAATCAGCCCTGTGGTTCGACAAGGATTTACTTTTTACATCCGACAAACAAACTCATACTTTTCCTGAAATATTGTAATACCTATTATATTTCGCACATAATCGGTATCTAATCTGGCAAACTAATTGTTGTTAACATGAACCCTTCAAGAAACATGCAATGTGATTCTGTCTGATCGAAGCTACACAGTGAAAAATATGTTAACCCTTTGATGTCCTGGAATCATATCCTCTAGTACTGACATTTGTCTAAAAGCTACACTGTGCAAGCCCAACTTTATCAGTGTCATGTTTATGGATCTTCATAAACAATAATGTTATGCTTTGTCTTCCATAACAGACATCACATGTATTTATAACTACTGTCAGAACGGCGGAACATGCGAGATGCACAAAGGCCAAGTTTACTGTTATTGTACCGAAGACGTTACTGGGCAATTTTGCGAATACAGTAAGTTTCAATGTATTGGCACATGAAGGAGCATAAATTAAAACTAAACGACATAATAATGTGCAATTAGAATACAGATCTCCCTCAAATTAAAGACCATTTTTGGACCAGGGGTTCCATGGTCTTCAGCAGATTTAGTCTCTAATTAGAATAATAATTTAGATAAAGACTTTATCAGCCACTCACCCCAATACACCCGCTAGCTACATCACTGGCTACGTAAAAAAAGAATAGGTATACTCACCAGGGAATGAAAGATGGTGCACTTTGCACGATTGATTCCAATGTAGGGCTATCCAGTGACATGACTTGGTCAGGGCACTTTACAACCTGAAAAGAGAAGGGCGCTATGAAAAGCCATGCTTTCCCTAAAACCGATACATTCTTGGAACAGTGCTTTCACTGCAGTCATCGATGCAATCAAGCAGGTTCTTCTAATCGAACGACTAATCAGCATCTTTATAAAAACCAGGCTTAAATTGCAAAAATTTTATAATATTAAAAAGTGTTTTAAATAATTATTAAAAAGTTTTTTTAATAAATATGAAATAAAAGCAAGATTTTGTTGTATTTTCTTCCTGCTAATTTCATTTTGCCTGATGAGGGCGCCATGCGCTACAGACATTAAGCTGGCTGAAATGATTATATATTTTTTTTAACTCCTAAAAAAACATACTTGTGATAGGAACTAAATAAATGAGGCTATTTTATATTTAATGATTATTTTTCTGCTAATTTCATTGTCTGATGATAGCGCCATGTAGCGGTAGACCTTGTCTGAATGGTGGAACTTGTCACCCCTTTTATGGTGATGCCTACACCTGTCTTTGCCCTCCAGGTACATCTGGGGATAACTGTCAAATTATCGATCCAGGTTTGTAATCATTATTTAGTAACGAATTATATTTACCTAATAAAATGTCAAAGTAAAACTTTTTGTATTATTTAAAACTGAAAGGTCGCATAAAATGTATATATCATCACATCATTGTACTATTAATATGAAAATTATATGATCAGGTGATGACATCATCAGACGTTCGAGCAATGATGCTATCAGCCGAACATCGTTTGTAAAATAGAAGTTTCGTAAATGGGAAGTTCGTAAATGACAATGTAGACTGTACAATATGCAGAATATCAGAATGTTATTGCTTTAAATTTATATGAAAACATTTACATCTACTCGCAAAAAATAGTAAGAATGATTACATGTTAGTTTGCCAAGTCTATCATTTTCCTGAACGCACCCCAAAATATTTATTACTGATCCAGTAAACCGACATTTTCCTTTTCTTTCTCTCTTTTTTTTTTTTTATTTTTATTAGTCACTGACACTTGAGTTTTTTTGTAGATGTTTGTGCAAATTCACCTTGTAAGAATTTTGGAAGCTGCAGTGAATTTGGAAATGCTGCCGATTGTTCGTGCGTTCCTGGTTTTACTGGACGGTTCTGTGAGATTGTCAGTACGTATTTATTTTCCTTTCATCGCCCTATTATTCTTTGTTGTTGGTGAGGTCGCCGATGATGATGACAAGGACAATGATGGATGAGGATGATGATGATGATAATGATTGTGGTAATGATGACGATGATATGCTGTTGGTGGCGGAGAAGCAATGATCATGATCACAACAACAACGATGATGGTTGTGGTGATGATGTTATGATGATATTGAGATATTAATGTATATGATGATAGGTGTTGGTAACTTTAAAATATTCTACTCCTTTTTTAGTCGAGGAATACAATTGTCCAAATGGAACAAGTCCAGATACCTGCTTATTTGACCCTTGTCACGTTGCTAGTTGTCCCACAAACCCGGATGCTCGCTGTGAGTCTAACTACTGCGGGTGTATTGCGGAATTCTACGATGCAGACGGCAATATGGTCAACTGTCATAATTGTGAAGATGGAGACGTAGTAACGTGCGTGATAGACCCTTGCACCGTCATGTCCTGCGACAAACATCCAACAGCCAAGTGTCAAGTGAATTACTGTGGGGAATGCAAAGCAGAATTTTACTATGATCAAGGAAATAAACTAGATTGTGAAAGTAATGAATGATCGATATCCTTTTTTAAACTGCAAAATTATTTATATTTTTATAAACTTTAAAAGATAAGAGGATAAATAGTTGGCTTCAAATGAAAAATCCATTTCTAATGGGTTTTTTTTTTTCAAATGAATGGTTAAAACATATAATAAATATTTGTTAATGAAATATAATTTATTCTGTAAATTCTATTAGAAAGGAAATACAGGTCTCACTCCAATTAAACACCACTTTTAAGACCGGGGTAAAAGACACTTGTTATTGGACCATGATGTCTAATTGGAGGAGCCTATAATCAGAGGGAGACCTGTAATTATATTTCTTTGCAGAAGTTATAGAATAAATACACAATGAAGAAGTACTTGCTGATAATTTACAAATTAAGCTTACTAGACATTGTTTTAATTTTATATAATCCTCATGTCCGAATTTGTTATTATTGCACATAATTTAGTTGTCCCTTGCCAATATGAAGGAAGGAATTATGACGAACACGATCAACGAGATCATGAAGATGCATGCAACATTTGGTAAGTATATCCGACGACATCATAAATTTGGAACCCGCATTAATCCTTTTATGACTAAATTTACGACTTTACGCACTTGGTGGTCATGCTAATATTACAGTGCAAAGTACGATGTAAAAACTATGTTTTACTATCATATATTACTTGACAAAAAAAAAATAGGGTCATACAACACATGTTGGGACACTGTGATGTGTAACAATTATGTTGTGATTTCAAAACCTCCTTGAAAAGGTTTATCATTTTGTATTACAATACATATGGAATCAATTGATGCTGAAACCTGCAGTGTGACATTTAAGTCTCTGCCATGTCCCTGTCATGAATTCCTGTTTGAAGTATTTCCAAGCAGTATAGAAATGACTAGGAATCCCTCTTTGACATATGAAATATACACACAGTTCACAATGTTGTAACACAACTCTCAAATAAAATTTTATTCTGTATAAACTCCAACAAGAATCCGGTATCAAAATAACACAACAACATTCACATAAACATGTGTTTCAAAAAGAGCTTTTCGAAAGACCAAGCTCTCACCTTATATACATTAGCCCTAGAACTCCAGAGCATTCAAGAGTATTCTATATTGCCTAAGTTCCTTATTGGTCACATTACATCATAATTAACCAATAGGCAAATTGCTTCTAGTACTTCAACATCTAGAACCTTCCACATGGTCCCTTATGTTCCTGTAATTACCAATGTGGAATTACACTGTTTGTTTGGTCAAATAAATACAATTCTAGAATGTTCTACGTAATAAATATGTTACAGTAAGGAAAGGAATGGAAATTTATTACAGTCCCTTAAATTTCCAATTTCTTCATGACAATTTTAAAATCATAATTGAAAAAGCATTTAATTACAAAAAATATTTTTAATTTCAAACTTTAGTACCTGTTTGGAGAACGGAACATGGCATTGTACAGACAATACATGTTCAGGTAAGAAACGTCCATGTTTGAAATTCATGCATATTCAAAAATTAAGCAAATGCATATTCATAACTTCTCATTTATATGGATAAATCCATACTGTCTGTGTTAAAATCTGGCAAATCTTTTAAACATACAATTAATTCATTAATTTTTTAATTTATGTATTAATTCATTAATTTGTAAATGTATGTATATTTATATATTTCTAAGTAAAGTATAGTATCTGCTTTGTATGCAACATGTATGTTTTTTGTTTTGACTAAATTACATCAGTTTTTGAAATTGTCTTGATACTGTAGTTAAGTTATAGAAGCAAGTTTCCTTTTAATCCTGTAGAAAGAATTGTGCTAGTTCTCTTTAGTTTAATTTTTTTTTTTTTGTAACTTTTAGTTTAATTATATTTGTTCTTGTCTTTGAACGCACCATTAATAGACGAGTGCCACTGTAATGAAAGTGTATTGTTCAAATCAATTAATTAATTAAATAAATTTGTCTTTCTTCTTTTTCAACTAGGATACAATCCAGATGGGTAAGTTTTTAGCAGCTTTTTTATGTTTATCAACATACAAGTTTAACTTTTAATTCACTTTTATTTTATGCTAAAACATTATTTATAAGGAATGTCTATGCACATTGTTTTGTAACCACATAAACAGTATGAAAACAAAAAGTATAAACAGTATAGTTTCTTTTTTATAGTCTAGATACCAAAGTATAACAACTTTGTATATATGTATTTCGTTATTGAATATAGATTCAATCAATCAAAATAATAGTGGCTCGAAACCTAATTGGGATGAATAACCTCATCCTCTCCAGTTTGTTGAGACGTTAATTTGTTAAGATTATCGTGCTGCTTTTTTCATTCCTGTTGTGTACTGTCAGTATGTGTGTTTTGATGTGTGTCGAGGGAGAGGAGTTGGCTGTGTTTTACACGTAGTTATATAGTCATGATTGTTGTTTACACTTTTCAAGGTTATTTCACTGTCTGTTGCATGTATGCAGGCCTAGCGCATTCGTGTATGGCTGTGTACGTAGCCCATTTATGACCAGAGCATAGAACTGCAAGTGGTCCGACTCTCAGGGTTTCGGTGGAATGCAATTCCTAGCTCAAAAAAAGTACTACCATTATGTAGAGAACGTCCTCAAAAGAAGGTAAAGGCGTTCGTAAATGGGGCGCCCCCTATCTCGTGGTAGTACAGACTTTTATTAATGTTTCCTTGTTTGCATACAAAATCATGGCAGTCGAACCTCTTGCCAATCTATACTCTTTGGTATGACCATTAATTCAGTATGTCTCGAACTGTCATCATTAATATGAATCATTCCTACAAACAGTACAGAGATTGGAATGGGTTTCGGTTTAGATTTTGAATTCAACCGTATCGAGAACAACCTCAACAAATTTAAAAGGTAAGTGTAAAAGTTTAATTATCATGCCATAAAGACATCACCACTATTACTATTCATACATTTTATTTATTTTTTATTAATTTCTTGTGTACCCTGGGTAACTTGGTCAGTGTAAAAGTATAGTCTTCCTCCAAGGCACAGCAACACATACACAAATTATAAGCATACACAAGAACAAAGAGCAGAAGTTTAAAAACAAATTGTTTAACTGTCTAATACAACATTTCTGTAAAAATTAAAGTTGTTAAAATCCTTAAAAAAAATATTAGACATACTTGAATTATCCAATTCAAATAAAGATATGGAAAAGTGAATAAAAAATTTACAATATTCACCAACATTTGCTATATCATCTCTAGTATTATGACATGTTTTTAAAGCATAATTATTTGATCAATGAATTTAAATAAATCTATAAATCTATTTTGAATATTTACAGTGAAATCAAAAGCCAGTTGGCATCAAATTTTGAAATACCAGAAAATAACATCCAAGACATACAGGTAAGTCAAAAAACATATAAACTGGTTAGATGGAAGGTACCAATATGTAAGATAGGCCTAATAGGTCATGTATGTAATATTGGTTGGATTATGTATACAAACCAACCATTGTAGTTACCGCAAAATAGGAATGGGGTGGATTTCTTTTTAAATCCTTGGGGTGTTTTTCAAAATATTTCATTGAAGAAGTACAAAAATAGTTAAAATAGACAGACAGTGCAATAATACCATGCGCTTTATAACAAAACATTGTACCACATTATTGTCATTATCACTATCATCACAATAATTATTAATATATATTATTGTTATATAATTATCATTATCAACCATCTTTATCATTATTTATGTACAACTACAAGTTTTATTTCATAAAGCTAATGAACAATGATAAAATAAACAATAAATTATATATTTTTTATTTAACAGTTAACTGAAGGCAGTGTTATTGTCAGGTTCAAGCTTGTAGATGATGATAACATTGATGCTGAAGCTGAGGCTGATAAAATGTTTGAAGAGGTAACAACGATACAATAATGCATGCATATTTTAGGCGTATTATAGCATTCATTATTGTTGCTCCTATTCTGTTACTGATATTAGATTAGTCATTATATTAATAATTATAAATCATTTCAGCTTGACTCTGGAAATGTGAAATTCGAATTTGATGGAGAAATTATTTGTGTCATTAACGGAAGTGTTCTGCAACCAGTTAAGCCTATCCCTATACCAACCACGGAAACACATACTGGAAATGGCAACGACTTACAACTTGTTATCATTATAGCTGGCGTCAGTGCCGTGGTTGTAGTGATTTTTATTGTGGTCATATATTGTGTAAGTTATTTATTAATTATTTTAATGACATTCTTTGAATATAGTTATTGTATGCAATAAACATAAGGTCGAACATTGAACCTTGAATATGTCTCTAGAGCAGTGACGGATTGGCCTATCTTTCAATCACTCATAGACCGCTTCCTATATGAATCCATGTCCTCCCTCCCTCACTCATAAAGCTGACGTTATAAACCAGTTCTCCCTTCTGTGTACGTTGAAACTGACAACAAGATTCAGAATGCATAGACCCATTGACACTTACTGATACACTTGCCAAGCATTAAGATTCGTTCACAATGGAAGTTTTGATGCTCCCCAATTTTTAGTTTGAGACGCTTAATAATTAGAAACGTTTCAAACACAACATATACAAAAGTTATCTGACGCAGTCTGACGTACATACTGTATATGCAAGCCTCAACTTTTTCTCAAGGAAGAATGAGATAGCCATGTAAATGCATTTGAATTTTGCAAGTGTAAGTTAACTTGAGTACTACTGAACATGAGACTATCATGGTTTTGCTCTATTTTGACCCAAGCTTAAAGCTCTGTCTAGATTATCAAATTTTCTTTGACAAAAAACTGTTGTATGCCCATATATAGTCATGATGTGCCTATATATGGTCATGATGTGATGTCATCATGACCATATTTAGGCATATCACATGCTTTTGTCAAATAAAATTTGATAGTCTGGACAGGGCTTAACAAATAATACCACTGAATGAAGAGTTTAAAATGAGTTTTTTTTTGTGTGAATTTCTAATGTGAGAGACATATCAATTATGTTGTATGCGCCTATATTCATGATGTTTCTATATCACATATGACCATATTTAGGCATGTCAAATAGAATTTGGCAGTCTGAACAGGGCTTTAGAATATGGATACACACTGGTTCAGATGAATAGATAATAAATTACATAATTGAATTTATTCATGTACACTACAGGCATGTTCAAAAAGAAGAAAGAAATCAGAAGATCAAAATACCACAAACCTTGCAACAGTAAGTCATTTTAATTATTAGCTACCAATTTAAGGCTACGTTCAGACCTGAAAGATATTCCAGGGCGTACGTTAATTTGTGGCGTAACTAGCGAGATGTCCAGACTAGGCGATAAAGAATGCTAGCATAAGTATTCGCACAAAATATTCGTATTCGTAATTGTGCATTTTATTTCCTGTTTACATCTAGGCTTTATGTGATTGGTCAAATCTTGGCCAAGTTCAGAATCATTCATGCATGACTGTCATAACTCAGTTGCGTATGCTAATCTGGCGTCTGTTGCCGGATTACCGTACGCCAGTGATTGCACGATAATACTGGCATTCACTACGCCGCGCACAAGTTCACACCACTCGATTAACGTTACGCTAGCATATAGCTTTGTCTACACTATCAAATTTAATGTGACAAAAAAATGTGATGTGCCCATATATGGGTACGATGACATCATATCACATTTATCAAAATTGTATCAAAAAAAAGTTGAACGTGTTCAACTCTATGTTCCATCAAATTTTACGTGATGCTTTTTGAAGAAATTTGACAGTGTAGACAAAGCTTTAGTCACTGTGTCTGAGCATAGCCTAAGTTTTCATAGTAGCATTACTTTTTGTTATCAGAAAATTATGATGTGTCTAGAGGTGTTACCATATAGGTACTGAAAGATGAGTTTATATTTAAGAGTGCAGTAGTAGGGCAATTCCTGCAAATTAAGATGAAATTAAGGTTTTGAACGGACCCACTTTATACCATTCCAAGTTAGGGTGGTGGCAGTGACAATGATAATTATGATAATAGTAGTGGATGTTGTGGGGAAGATAATGATGAATTTAGTAGTTGTTGTGGTGAAGATTGTTAAAAAGGATGATAATGATTATAACAATAATGTTGGTGCTGGTAAAGAAGGTGATATAATACACTAAGGGTAAAGATGACAAATGATTATGATCATGATAAACCAATTCAATTCAATTCAGATGTTTACTCTGGAGACTTGTTAATTTTCTTATCATGGAGATTCTTCCAATCCCTCGTAAAAGCTGGGTATACATCTGAGCTAGATACAGCGGAAAAAGCAAGTATACATCAGGAGAGGTAAGGAGATTAGCCGATCAATATCGGCTAAGGAAGACGTTGAGAAGGCTATAAATGGTGTCTGATTGGAACTGAAAAAGCGGAGATTATAAAGAGGCTCACCAGTTGGATAAAACCAAACGGCACAAAAGTATTGTTGAAGTTAGCAGACATGTAGAGATGCGGTTGTTCAGATGAAGGAATTGCCTCATCTTATCATCCTAAATACACCCCACGGGTTGAACCCAATAGTCGAAAAGCTGCCGTCCTTTGTGATTAACAAAATGGAGGGACAAAGTAGCTAGTCACAAGAAGGAGCTGAAAACTTTCCTAAAATTTTATACATTTTCAGACTTCCTCATAGTAACATTGCCTATTAGCATAGGGATCCAGATGTGCAAAAGAAGCTGGATGAAAATAGGGGTGACAGGTCAAGGTCTTAGCATGCCACAGCGATAGTGAAGAAGACCACTGTGCAAAAAAACCAAAATTGGTCAAAGAGAAGGATGGATTGTGCCCATAGGATCCTGGTTCTCACAAACTTATCAATTGTAGGACCTTGGCATCGAAGTCGTATGCAGAAAAAAAGGTACTGCTAAAGGAAAACCGTATTTGTTTCTGCTGTTTGACATCAACTTCCCATCTAGCAAGTGATTGTAAAGCTGACATACAATGCGAAACCTGTAATAGCAAATGTCATTTAGTGTTATAACACACCTAAATAGATCCCAGTTATATGATTGAGTAAAAGTCTCATCATCGAATCTAACAATGTAGAGTAACACGTACACACAAAATTAACTTCCCAGCATATGGCAAGACCCAATAATTTTGCAAAAATGTGCAGAATTAATAGTTTGAGCTCCAATAAACCTAAGCGTGTATATAAAATAGAGAATGAAACCGATTCGGATGGTGAACTGTTTGTAGGAAGTATCAGAGGCTCTGATACTAACAAAGCACACATTGATGACAAATGGCATGCTAAAATAAAAGTCTGTAATATTGGCCTATTGAACTGTAAATTGGACACTGGACAGAAGCCAACATTTTGCAATTATTCAATGTAAAAAAGAGTAAGGCAGACAAAACAGCCAAGTCCTACAGGCACGGTACTGCATGAATTTGGAAACACTTAGAAAAAATAAACCTGAAATGTCATGTTAGATCAGTACAGCGTGATCTAATGTTCTACATTAAAGATAGAGCAGAAATGGCTATTCTTGGTCACAAGTCTGTGAGAGCCAAGATCTGGTGAAAAAAAAAACAAGGGAACTCAATTACAAAACATCACCTGATCAACGAATATGCTGATGTTTTCTAAGGATTAGGAGAATTTGAGCAAGAATATCACATACAAAAGCAGATGATGTTACGCAACAGATACAGCCAGCACGCAAAAATAAAATAAATAATAAATAAAAATAATATATTTATACTAGCACTTAAAATAGAAACAAATGTTATTACAATTTGGCCATTATCTTATCAACAAGGTAAATTAATTTCATTTAAGAAAAAGAAAGATGTAGCAGTATGAATTGTTTCTTGTAAATTATGAATGCTGCCACCAATGGTATGCAACTTTGAGATATGAATAAAACACACGAAATTGAACACGATAGAGTCTGTCACAGATACTGAGGCAGAATTGATGATCTTACTTGTCGGTGACATTCCTAAACTTCACAAGATTTGAGAAATCAGAAATGGTACAATCAACATACCATGGGGCCAGAAACTAGACTACCTCTGTTGGGTTGCGGCAGGAGAAATGTATCACGATTGGAACTCATCCTAAAGAATTTGTGAATACATATTGTGCTCAGGTTTTGGTAAATTGTAGACCATCAATGAATTTTTAACCCTGTGACAAGTAGTGACAGTTAGATCATACAATTTTAAGAAGAGTTGGGTGGCGATGTGTTTGTAAAGATGGCACAAGCAAGATGAGAAAGTTGGCATGTCCATAGAAAACAATGAATTTGTTGATCTTATGCAGCATAAGAAGGGGAAAGACAAGGGAAGGGAGGTTGGGAAGCACCATTGCCAATCCGGTTAAACAGAAGTATTTTAACCAATAATAATTGTCAAGCGAAAGATTTGAACAATGAAAGAAAAGCCTATTTTGAAGACTCACTACTTTGAATTCATGGCAAAAATCTTTCACCAAATATGCTGTTATCGATGAAGGTGTCACCAGTAAATACACCTGAATCTGTCTGAACAATTTGCCACTAGGATGCATTGTTGAGACAGAAGTGAGAGCGGATGAGTGGGTTAGAAAAGTATTGGTTGAGGCAAACCAAGGCGGTAAGAAGAGGACATTGTTACGACCCATACAGAAGCTCCTGCTATTGGTTCCATCAAACTAGAAGACTTCATTATTTGAATGAACATTATGCTTATGTATTTAGAATATTTATAAATTATGTTTCTATTTCTCTTTCGGTTTGGAGAACCATTTGACGATATTTTAGTACACTTTTGGGTATCCTGTCTTCCAGAGTATGAAACTGTTTTCAAGTGTATATAATTGAGACAAAATAAATGAAATGAAATACGTTTATGTATTTTAGAATATTTATGGCAGGAGAGTGTGCTGCCTACAGGCAATTGGCTACGAGGCCAGCAAAATATTAGTGGTGATGGTGATGATGATGATGATGATGATGATATGTTGATAACAATATGATGGAGATGATGTTTATTTCAGAAAAGAAAAATATAAACTCTTTTTAACTCATTACATAATTCATCTTGTTTCAGATTTCTGGCAATATATACGACAATGAACCTGATGCTACCATCCAAGGCTCAGATAACGCAGCTTACGTTGACATGGAATCCATGAATGTATAGGACAGAAAAATAAATTACATTTCTACACAAACAGAAAAAAAAACTTCTTGCTTCGTGATTCTTTCGCAAGCCAACATCAACTATTGATTTTGCATTCACCTCAACAAGCGTGAATTTCCTTGTCAAACATCGTTGTAGCATCAATAATATATGCTTCAATTTTTTGCATGTTCACAATCGTGGCATTGTGTTTCCTGAAATAAACTTTTGCAACTTGGAACCTCTCTGAACTATGCATAAAAATGTCACCTCCAACAGAATGCATGAAAGTCAGTGATTGCGACACTGTAAATTGATTGATAAGGAACAAGTTCATGATGATGAGGTTCAAATTTCAGCATGACCATTGTGAAATATCACCTCAACTGGTACATGCAAGTTTCGGTGACTGTTATATTGCGAATCCAGCGATGCAAAACATTCACATGATAATAGAGATTAAGTCATCATGAACACTGACAGATGTCACCTCAACAGTCAGTGGTTGTGACATTGTGAATCCAGCAATGCAGAACAAACGCATGATGATGAAGATCAAGACCATTGACAGATTGTCACCTCAACCGAAACACATAAGAGTCAGTGACTGTGACATTGCGTATCCAGCGATGCGGAACAAATGCATGATGATGAGGGTCAAAAAGTTTAAGGAATGAGATGTGTAGATTGGAGAGCAGGCAGTCTGCCACCTCAAACTCAACACTAATTTGACTCAATTCAAGATGCGTCACTTTGCTTAGATTTGATACATGCATCTGAAGAGAGAAAGAGAAATAGTAAACTTACTATATCTGTTTTCCTCACCGACATAATGAGAACTGATACTACCTAAACTCTAAACAGGCCAAAAAAAAGGAGAGATTTAACCCATGGACTATCGACCCTGACACTGTGAGTGCCAGTAGATTTTTAGTCTTATGGTCCTTGCCTAAATTTTATAGGTTGAGGGCAAAGATTGTTCATGCATTCCACTGTAACTTGCCTTAAACTTAGCTGCAACTAGTTTTAAATTTGGTTACCATAAAATTGCCAGTTGGCAGCATATATATAAATGGTGATCATTATTTTTCATATTGTATTTTATTGTGTATATATAAGATATTTTTGATAAATTCCAGGTATAAATAAATTCTGTGCAATTCATATCTACTACACAATTTTATATAATTTTTTTAAACAAATTAAATAAAACATTAATAATTTGTTACACAAACTTATTCAGCATTTCTAAATGAACAATACTCAGGTTTCAGATAGAGGGCTGCCAAAGTTAGTGTACAATCTTAAGGCATGTGTGTCAGTTAATGAGAAGTGGAGGGAGAAGTGCGACAAAAACTACTATAAAACTTGCGAAGATTAGTGATTGAACTACTTGTCAGAAAATTTAAGTGAATACCATATTACTACCAAAGAATTAATAAATAACATGTATCAAAAATTTTCATGGGTTTTATAAAAGGTTTCTGGTACGTTTTTTTGGAATTTGTCTTAATTATGGAGTTTTATATATATTTTTTCTATTAATAAGCTTTACATAATGTTTGGCTATTTCAAAAAATTGGCTTGAATGCACACTTTTAACATCTGTTTGGTTGCAAATGTATTTCTGTTATTTTTAATGGAAAATAAAAGCTATCTTGAATCTATGTAAAATTTTAGCAGCCAAAAAAAGGTATTTAAATCTTACCCTGAACTTTGCATTTAATGTGGTTCCACCATACACCTTTAGTGTTTTCCAGAGCACGGCTTTCTCCTCTGATTTGTACTCAGTAGACTGTCCACTATCACACTTAATACTCGGACTAACACTAAAAAAGCAAATTAGTTACTCAATAAATTAGTGCTAAGTATTGAATTGAGATATGAGTCATTAGGTTTAATGTCGAATTTTCAGTTAGATAGAGTATTGAGTGTGAAATATTGAGTGTGGAATGGAATAATTCTGGAATTATATAGCGCCTCACGTTGACACAACCTCGAGGCGCTTAACAACAGAAAAAAAAAATGAGTAATGAGTATGAAATATAGAGTGTGGATTATTGAGTATGGAGGACTGAGTGTGGTACATTGAGTATGGAGGGTTGAGTTATGGAGTATTGAGTGTGGAGTTTTATTTTTAAAAATAAAATTGTTGAAATTAGAAATACTGCTTTTAAACTTTGCCTAAAAAAAAACACCTATCTATGATTAAATTATATTGTTTAATGTTATTGTTATGATGAAATTAGAAAAAAATGTTTAACATTTGTCTTTAAGAAAATCAAACTATCTATAATTAAATTATATTGTTTAATGTAATAAAAAAAGTTATGTTTACCATGACTTTAAATATAGAACTGTTTAGAAAACCTTGAGTATTTAAGTTATATATTATATTATGATAGATGGGCCTGAGGCCATGTTATCAATATTTGAATAAATTTTCCTGATCTTGTATCAAGGAGCAAAACAGAACGTAATGTATGGGAGTTTGATATATTAAGTGTTTAAAAGTGCTGCCCAGACTATAAACTTTAATGAACAAAAGAAATGCCTAAACGTGGCAGAGCCAAGCCAAAGGAGGGAATAAGTCAAAATTTTTAAAATTGAGTTTTGTACACATTATGAAACTAGACATTATTATCTTCAAAATGAAAAAAAAAATCACTTTGATATGATAGTTTATGGTGAAGTAAATGGGCAATCAACGTTAGGATACTTGGTAAGTGTATTTTGAAAAAACTGGCTTTGAAAAGCAGATTTTATGTCTGTACACTAGGACAAGCTCTCTTAAATACCATTTTCAGAGCATTTATTGATTATATATGAAAGAAAGGTAAATGTATGATGAAAGTTAAATGTTTAATGTCTATGTTTTAAAGATAAAAAAACAACAAAAAAATGAATGATTTCATGTTTGTGCATTTATTGGAAAACTGTCTGTGCGACTTATCCCTTCTTTGGCTTGGCTCTGCCACAAATATGGTCATGTTGACATATCATCATGACCATATATAGGCACATCATGTCTATATATGGGCATACAACAGTTTTCTGTAAAAGAAACTTTGATAATCTCGACAGAACTTAATGCAGTGCACAAGTATGAATTGTGAAAAATGGACCGTTGTTGCTAAGGTCCTACAAAACAATAGCGTAAATGTACTGTAAATGCACGAATAAGCGCCGCTCTCAATAAGCGCTGCACCAAACCTGATTTTTTTCACTTAGAGCCGCTCTTGAATAAGCTCTGCGGTGCTTAATCCAAAGTAAAATACCTTGTGTGTAATGAAACAGGGTTTGAAATACAATGAACACAGTGTTAAACTGGATAAATAACACAATGAAGGCACAAGCATTTCTTTATAAACATATGTTTGCGACACAGGTGGGCAATGTGCGGCCCGACAGCAATTTTTTTGCGGCCCATGAATATGTAATAAAAACCCTATGTGTGCGGCCCGCCAAGCAACATTGGCTAGAAAACACCTTGTTTTTACGGCCTGACACCGATCATATGTAAAAAGTAATATTAAAACTGGGAATAAAGTGGTCTAAATGCAGCGCTTGGATGTTTTTAGAAGCGCACTGGAAAGATCAAAGTTTGGGTGCGGCCCTCTGTGTTAAATCAGAAATTCACTTTGGCTCTCCGACCGATTTTTATGCCCACCCCTGGTTTACGATGATGTAGGACCTATGATAGGACTACTGAACTACGGATACAGGTGAGATAGGTAACACGGGAACGGGCAGGGAAAGCGGCACACCAATATTTTGTTATAAGCGCCGCACTGAAGCCTCTAAAAATTTTATAAGCGGCACGTCGCTTATTCGAGCATTTACAGGTCAGAGAATAAACCATAACTCCCAACGTCATTGTGCCGAATTGCATATGGGCATGGTCCGTGACTACTGTAGCAGCCATAGAGAGATGCTTAGTTCACGTCATTTCATAACGACAGGGGCTGAAATTAACCATAGCATCGGGGTAAACCCTAAACTTAATCGTGTTACCGCAATACAAAAATACAAATTGAACCTCACTTACTTTGTGGTGTTGTTTGGTACTGGTAAGCGAACTTTGACATTTGACGCATAAACTGCAGGCTTCAAGTCACATTTTAATATCAACTCAATCGATAAAACACTATAAATAGAATATTTTTAACAATATTAACAATAAAAATCTGTTACACGGATTCTGTGACTCAATCATTATAAATATTGAATTTGTAGAGGTTTTTGTGTCAATAATAGAAATTTAAAAAAAATATTATTAAATAAATTAAAAGTGTAATATTTTCAATTATTGCAATGTACATTTATATCATATACAGTAGTTTTTGTCAAGATTTTCAGGAACAATATTTAACTGACACTGTCACATCCAATCTCCAGTAACTGTCACATCCAGATGCAAAATTGTCAATTATTACAATGTAAATTTATATCAGATATAGTTTTTGTCAAGATTATCAGGAACAATATTAAACTGATTGTCACATCCAATCTGCAGTAATTATTATTATTATTATTATTATTATTATTATTATTATTATTATTATTATTATTATTATTATTATTATTATTTATAATAACCATCCTCAAGAGAACATTTTGGTTGTCATCACAAATTGTCACCAATGTACAGTGTCACACCAAATTTGCAGTAATCGTCACAAGGCAATTATTATTTTATTATTAAATGAATGTATTTTTTTAGCCTCACCTCTTTTCATAGTTTTCCTCTATATTATTATATAGTAGGAATGGTAAGGCAGAGCTGATCTCACCAGAAAGCTGGTATTTCATCACTGTCATCTGAAAAATAAATGTTGACACAATGACAAATCACATGATAGATGACATGGAGATACACCTTCACCTGTGGTATCTAAACATCTTAAATTAACACCAGTGGAGGTGTATGTCCAAACTAGAGTATTACTATATCATGTGACTTACTATTATTCATTATGCAATACCTCCAGAAAACTTGTGTCCTAATAGAAGAACCCAAGGGTGTATACCACTTGGCCTCATAGCTCAGTTGGTGGAGTATGGTAACGGTAATCGGAAAGGTCTTGGTTTCGAATCCCGATGGGGACATGTTTTCTCAAATATTTAATATAAAATAACATACATTTTTAAAAAGTAAATATTATATAGTGTAGATATTAATTATGGTCATAATGAAAAGCATAAATTACAAAATACAATAATTGTAATAACAATACCAATTCTAAATGCGAAAAATGATGATGGTAGTTTTGAAGTTAATTTTTCAACATGTCTGTCTATATATTTACCTCGCCCTCTGACAGGTGTAGTTTAAGTGCCCTCTGTGTCTCGAATTCCTCTAAAACGACACTAGGATGGAACTGAATAGCATCGAGGCGTACTCCACAGCCGTACCCGACGTGACTTGTCTTACCAATCACTAGATCTCCTGGCAAACCAAGCTTCATCTCTGGCAGAAAAATATATTAAACCTTCATAATCAAAGCCCTTAAATTTTCTTTATATAGGAACAATATTTTGCGCTACCTGATGTTTTAAACAGAGCAATCACTGCTCCAGACAATCGTTGGGTGACGTGATTCTACGAATAAGGCAACACTACGATGCACACACAATTGATCGTTTTTAATGACGATCCATTCAGACTGCCGCCGACGTTCAGCAGAACATGTCACGTTGTCTAGCGCCCTCAGGCAGCGGAGTTGGGTTCATTGCCCGATGGTCATACGACCATCTTACGTGCCCGGCTTTACCATACTGAATGCTCAGTACATTTCTGATTACTTGCTGAAAAAAATGTCTTAGCCAATAGATCATCAATACCAATAATTCTGGCGTTGATGGTCTATTGGCTAAGACATTTAAAAAAATATATATTATACTTATATACAAATGTGGAGGAAGATTGGAAATAAAACTACTCACCTGGATTACCTGTTAGGTAACTCTTCACCTGTAGGGAACCGATGATGTCATTACACATCACTGAGCCCTAAAGATTTAGACAAGTACAATTAAATAGAAATATACAGCAAAGATTTAAAAAAAAAATCATGAAAAATATCTTAATAATAACTTTTACTACTGAGTCCACATGAAGGTAGTAAGTATCTATAACACCAAGCTACAGATCCACTTTCTATGTTATTTGTCAAAAAAATTACAAACATGTCTGACTTACATTTGAAGAAATAAGAATCGAGAGCCGTTCTATCACGTCTACGTAAATCTCATTACGTGCCCCATGTGAATACTAAGAGAAAAAACACCAACAAATATATATGTAAAACCAAAGACAAGTAATAACAGTGTCTGATGCAAGAACACAAGTGAGTACTGTATGGAAAAGTCCTGTACTGGGTCCATATCTCGCACCAAAGTCCAATCAATTACTGCTGCGCTAACTCAGAGCATCTTAGCTCAGTTGGCTAAACTGGTGGGCAGCCACTGTGTGTGCGCTGAACCGTGGAGAACTCTTGGTCCCCTGTTCAATTCCCATAGCTGCTCTCCTGGTATTTCACATGGACTGCTGAAATGCAAGTTGCGATAGCACACCGTCTTTCGTATGAGACGTTTAAGCCGTTGGTCTCATTTGCATTATGGCCCATGTGCAAGAGTAGGGGATTATCTCCCAGTGTACTGCCCAATCACCGCCAGAAGGACCCCACTGGAAATTAGTCTCCTTCACACTTTTGTGGGCTATCCTTGGTGTTTACACCAAATAAATCCATCCGTCCATCAGTCCCAACAAATTATATGTATAATGTAAAGGAAAGCTTTTAATGCTGAAAAAGTAATTTTGTATTCTCTGTATGCATAATTATTACCATATCTGCTTTGGTTCCAACAATTGACTTCTCAACTGAAGGCACAAGGGCGGAAGAGCGTTCACCTCCAAACTACAGTAATAAGAGAAATATGAAATGAAGAAAAATCGGATAAAAATCCAATATTTTAATACTCAAAATTAGGAACATCAAAAATGTGTTTAGTATATTGAAGAAAATATTCCTCTTCTATAATCAATCTTATGTTTATATTTCTTCCAAAACTACCAAGTAATTATCTGGACAAACTTACCAAAGAAGCACCGATTCCTAAAACTGCGAGATTTGGCCTCTCCTGCCGGACAGCTACGGCGTCGCCTTGAATGTAAGGCTTCAGTGCCTGTGTAGACATCAACTGAGGGACACCGCCATCCTACACGCCAATGAAAGAAAAATTACCAGTATTGGTAATGTAATAAAATTTGTTACGGTGCTGAGCATTAAACTTAGCCACAATAAAGTAAACCAGAAACAACGAAAAGAAAAAATTTTAAAGTCACAATGTTATTTTCAGCTGGCTTGTGCCTAAACAATTTTTTGATAGATTAAGAAGCCTGATGGTGTGGGGCTGTAATCTACTTCTTTCAAGTGCACATGAGCAATATTGTCTACAAGATCAATGGCTACAGAGTACCACAGTCGTGTTGTCACGACGCCAGGCGGCGCTCTCTGTTGTAAACAGACGGTTACCGTTCATTACGCCTGAATGACTTCACAGGCTTTCTGGAATAAGCATTTTAAAATCTAATAATTTACCATCAAAATGTACTAAAAACACAAAGATTTCCATAGTTCAGTTAAGGTTAGCTCAGTTAAAGATCAGTTTAGCTCAGATAGAGACTCAATCAGGTAAACTGGGGGTAGCCAGTATGTGTGGACTGAACCATAGAGATCTCTTGGACCCCTGTTCAATTCCTGTGTGTTTCAGCTGTAGTGCTGAAATGTAAATTTTAATAGCACACCGATTTTCAGATGAAACATACGCTGTTGGTCCATGTGCACGTTAAAAAAGAGTAGGGGATTGTCTCCCTGTTTACTACCCAACCACCACAGAAGGACCCCACTGGAAATAAGTCTTCTATGCACTTTTGTGGGTTATCCCTGGAAAAAATCAATCCAGCGCACACACAGTGGTTGCCACCTATTTTAGCCGTGTGGAATGAATGCAGGGGTCGGGGGGGGGGGAACATGGAATAATTTTAGCTGCTTGTGCATTTTTTGCTTTGAACATTTTCAAAGGGAAATCATGTACCCTCCTCCTCCATCTCAACCCCCCCTCCCCCAGATACGCCACTGACTACGATATATTGATTTTCGCTGCTCCGATAAAAAAAAAATTCACACCTACAGCTCTGTCCAGATTATTATGCCCATATATAGTCATGATGTGCCTATATATGGTGATGATGTGATGTCATCATGACCATATTTAGACATGTCACATGTCAAATATAATTTGATAGTCTGGACAGGGCTTATTGAAGGAAAGAGGAGAAAATAAAAATTTCATGGTTTGCAATAGGAAAGAAAAAAAGGATAGAAATCAAATAATGACTTACAATAATTTCATCCAGAAGTTCATGGATGATGGTGAAGTTGAGATGAATAGCCTCTTCACTGACCACACCACAAAAGTCTTTGCACAACGCTTTGATCCTGAAAAGTTACATCAAATCATATGCTTTTTATATTTATTTTCTATTAACTTCATTAAAAGTACTGGCGTTACTCCAACATTTGCCAGAGCCGATCACTGTAAGACTAAAAGATGGAGAACATCTACCAAGAAGTACGAGAGAAATATCGTCGAGGAAGAACTTAAACAGAAATGCAAACAAGTTAAGATATTAAAAAAGTATTTTAGTTTGCTTTAATGATTTGATGTTCATTTACAGTATATATACTATATAAAATGCATACAAAATTAAAGAGAAATTTATTGTTTTGTTTTTTTAAATAATGCTTTTTACCACACACAAATTAAAAGACTTTTTTCTTTAAATTTAAATCACCACAAATGAGGCCCAAAAGCCAATTTTTGGTAAGGGGTTACTTGCAATTTAACAAATCAGGTGTATAATAACTTAAGCTAGAATGTTATAAGTCTTTGTGCTTGTGATTTGTTTTGTGATATGATTGACTTGTTTATGATATTTTTTTCATGGGAATGTGATAAGTCATTTGTAATTTTGGTAATTTTAATCAGCAATTAGTAATCATTGTGATAATTGTAGTTCAATTTGTTAACATTTTAATTCTTTCAATTTTAATGTAATTTTTTATGCATGTACAAATCATTACAATTCAGCCTTGCGTCGCGAATTTGATTTGAATAAAACTTGAACTTAAATAAAACTAGGAACAACTATATAAATACCTGTTAAGAAGCTCAAGGAGGAAAAATGGAGATGCATCAGCCTTTGTTGTGAGAACAAAAAACAAACTGCTACATTTAATATGAACATACAGTACACCTTCAAGCTCCTACAAAATAGAAACAACGAATTAAAACATCACGCCAAAGACTTCCAGTGAATTTTTTTTTTCTAATTTTAAATTTTGTTCATACTTTTTTTTTATAGAAAATATGAGTGATTTAACCAGTGATATGACATCTTCATATCCATATGAAAAAAAAATTTTGTATCCATCAAATTTAGATATTGTCATATTTATATATTTTAATTAAATAATGTCTCTTAAATTTCGTAAAATCAAGTATTGTATATATTAATCAAATTTAAATTTAATACTAATTAATGATATAATTAATATATTTAACTAAAATTCTTTTCACCCTTATTAGTTCTTTTATATTTCAAGCAAATAGTTTTAAGTATTCAGTATTATATTATTTTACTATGTTTTTTTTGGCATTGGCTTTTCTTTTTTAATTTGTCATTTCTTATCATTTCAATAGGACCCATTCAGAAACAAGCAGAAATGCGTAAAAGGGTTCCTAAAATTCTCCATAATTGTTTATAATGACTCATTCAATTTTGTACTTTGTTTACTTGTGAGTATTTTTAAATAAATCAAATCAACTTTGTTTTAAAAGATTTAAAATTGTTATTTGGATCTTGAAAAAGAGGCCTAAAATTGGGGGTGCACTTTATAAGAGCGAGAGCAAAGCTTAGCTGGATCAACCATAAAACACAAAAAAAAAATTAGAGACACTCACTAATACTGGAACAATTTCCTTGTTGTTTTTAACATACTGTAAAAAATTAGCAGCCGACTCTTTTCCGGGTCCATCTCTCCTATCTGTGTTAATTAAGAACTTAATAGCAATGTCATATTAATATTATTTCAAACAGAAGGAGTTTTCATGCAAAAATAAAAAAATATGACGATATATGCCTAAGATAGAGTTGAAGGAAGGAGCAATGATTAAACACCGGACTGGGAAAAGCTAAAGTAGGCCCACTTTAGTTGAGTTGAACCATGGAGGAAAATTAATTCCTAATTGGTTAAACCAGGGACTCAATTCTCAAATGATCACCATACTTTTGAGGTGAATGACCTGTGCTCCAAAATCTAGGACTAGCCTAGAGTAGTAGTAGCAGTAGTAGTAGCCTAGACTAGGCCTAGTAGGCCTATGATGCTTTCTTTCATCCAGGGCAGGACTAGCGAAATATCGGCCTATGCAGGCTTACACTGAACAGTACTTTGTCAACCTAGCCTAGGCCTACCTTAGGGTAGGAAAGTAATCTTACAGTTCTACTTCTATAATATTAAGAACATTCTTTTAATCAAAGGATACAAATTTTGTTAACTAGAACCTCTCCTCTCAAGGAAACTATCGAAAATGTATCGATTCTAGGATGGAAAGCTTCCATTATCAACCCGGCTCCACATCGCGTTTACAATACTTGTACTTTTCCCGAAACATTCACATGCCTGATCCAAGTGTTTACCTGTCTGCCGCCCTCTCTCGGATAAACTACTTCCACAAAAGGCTTCAACTTCGAATGATTTTTGAAGAGCCACCTGCACCATCAATCAACTCTACAATATTGTAGGCCTGTGGGTAAAACAAAATTAATGAACTACAAATTAATCAGTAATACAGATACTTTATCTACTATAAAGGCTTGTAAATGCTTTAGTTCAGACCTTTTTCTCCACACTCGTTTTCCATAACTTTTACAAAATTCATCGAAGCATTTCTCGACTTCTTTTTGTCAAGGAATGAGTAGTGGAGCCTAAGACGTAATAAATAAATAAATAAAAACAACTAACACCTCATTTAAAAGGACCAAAATTAGTAACATTCTAACCTGCCAATTTAGACCTGTGAAAATATATATATATATGAACGGTAAAGACTATTTTCTAATTTTATTTTTTTAATCAAAGCAAATAGCTTTCATACGGGTTACGTTAAGTAAGCAATCATAGTATTATGAAATTTGAATTTTAGGTATCATGCAGACACGACATGATACAGCTAATACATTCTCTTTAAATGTAGACCTCCCTGTTAGTTAATGATTCATATTTTATTAATCTAGTTATTAGGCCTACGTCATTGTAGTAAAGATAATGCATGAACTCAACTCTTCTACTTAGGCCTACCATGGTGTACTTCCAGCTTACAATATTACGTTATGAGAACGTTATAATAATGCTACATTTTGGAGTTAAAAACCTCATTTTATACTGTATTACAAATTCCGTAATGCAAATGAAAATAATGAATTTAAATAGGCTTATATTCTGGGATGTTCAACTGTACCTATCAACAGTAAATGTGAAGATATTGTTGATAGATTCTGCAAAAGGTACATTAAAAGGGCATAGAAACTGCGAAATGAAATGATAAATTCCATTCCCTATAACTGTAACTATACTTAGGCCTATCTTAATTAATTAATTTTTATTATTTTTTTTATTATTATTTATTTTTTTTTTAAATTATTCATTTAATTGTTTTCATTCTGTAGTTTCTACATTTCTATAAGATATAAGGGTGTAATGAAAGAAATGACAGCGGGACAGTAGATTTTAAGAAAGGATTTTTGATGTGGATGCTAATATTATAAGATACGTATGATTTTTTAAGCTAGTACAGTAATTTTGTTTTAGTATAAGTATTCTATAGTGTTAAGTTCCCTTTTTGTAACGTTGTTGATGTTTTGTATTTGCTTTTGTTAACATTATAGGACGCACCTTTGTTCTTTCAAAGTGTGCCACTGTTTGGAAAGTGTATGTCCAAATAAGTAAATAAACAAATAAAATGGAACCATAAGTAGGCTACTTACTTACTAACCTAGTTTCAAAACGTCAAACGTTAATTGTACGTTCCTACAATGTTGCGTGAACGTTATTTTGTGACATACCTAACCACAGCGTTCGTGCGTTAAGGACGTTTTAGGTCTATAATCTTTAATAAGCTTTGTCCAGATTATCAAATTTTCTTTGAAAAAATATTGTTGTATGCTCATATATAGTCATGATGTGCCTATATATGGTCATGCTGTGATGTAATCATGACCATATTTAGACATGTCACATGATGAGATTAAGTATAAAATTGAATTGCTTATCTAAGGAATAAACTACCGTTTTTGTTCGAATAAACACCCGGGCGTTTATTGTTGAGAAGGGGGTTTTTTTGGGGGGGGGCGTTTATTCAAGGGAGGCGTTTATTAGGAAAGCGTTTATTTATTTTGGTGTAAAATGGATACGTATATATTCAAATTAACACCTCATAATTTTATTGTAAGTGTGGAACTATAATTCTTAGTGAAAGACTGATCCAAATCAGGTTAGAAAAATTGTATTTTATTTTAAATGTATTTTTTTGTCTGGAGTATAACAAATAATAGAACGTGTTGGAAAATGATGTTGTTTCAATTAGATTTGTCATTTTGGGGGTGGGGGAGGGGCGTTAATTTCAGGAAAAAATAAACCCGGTGTTTCAAGGGAGGCAGGCTCGAGAGGGGGAGTTTTTCCAAAGTGGGCGTTATTCGACTACATACGGTTAGAGCAAGGTTAGAGTCTTCTATTTTTTTAGTCTCGGAATAGAGGTAGTGAGATTACTGTATTATTGTTTATCTTAAAATGATGAGGTTTGAATATTGTGTGGAAGGATCAATGATTCGTAGAGGGGATGCTAACTGGCAAAAGTAGTGATGAGGCGATTTTAACTCCACTGAGCTGTTTATCTACCTCATTTCGGATAATTTTGTTCATTCTATTTAATACTATTAAATATCAATGTGATGAGGCGATTTTAACTCAGCACTAAGCTGTTTATCTACCTCATTTCGGATAATTTTGTTTATTCTATTTAATACTATTAAATACCAATGTATCTGGTTGATAGGATAAGCCTATATTTAATTATGTTTATAATGTTGATATAGGAGGCTAGATCACAATTATCATTTTTGCATCGCCCTGTAAATGGGAAAAAATCCTTTAATTGCATTTCATAAACACAGTGGCGTAGCCAGAATATTTCTGTAGGGCTGTGGGGGGGGGGCAGTGTGGTACGTGATATTATGTGGGGGTACAAGTGTTCTGGTCAAAGCGAGGAACCAACTGCTGGGGCCAGAGGTCAGCGTAAGGCCCCGGTCAGGGTCCCCTGGAAGAACTTCACAATATAAATGGCTTCCGAGTGACCTCAGCCCGTTTGCTCTCAAATAATAATGTATAAATCAAGTGAAATTTCTATGGCATTAAAGAATCAAAATGAATATCATATTGTTATATAGCAGTTTATTCATTATGAAGAACATTTTAAACCATGATGGAACTATTGTATTTTGTATCTTAATACGAATTACAGTTAAATTTTAGAAACATGAATACCCGGGAACGGGATTGTACTTTAGCCATTGTGTTGCAACAAGGAAAGTGTGTAGAGAATACTGTGAGTTTGTATAAATGCCTGTGATTGCCAATATGTATAGGCGCCTAATGTACTGTAAACTAAAACTACACAATATAGGCCTAAATAATATTAAACATCCATTGAGTGATTTTAGAAGAACAACTGCGAAGCGAACACCTCGGTGAAAAACCCGTAGTTTTGCAAGTCAAAACTTCGAACTGGTTGAGCTGAATTCGAGCAATCATCGACATGTAGAAATGTCAATGAACCTCATTAGACACCTCGT